GGCGGGCGGAGCGTCGCCCGCAGCCCAACGCGCCTCGAGCCCGGCGGCCCTCGAGCCCGGGGCACCCCCAACCCGTCGCACCCCAACGGTGCCCAGCGCGCTCCGAACCCGGCGGACCCGCAGCCCGGGGCACCCCCGGGGCCCGCGGAAGACGGAGCCCGTTCGAGGCCAAAGGGTTCAGGGTAGAGAACGACCACAGGTCCGGGGAGGGTGGCACCGCCATGTCCCCGCGTACCCCCATCCCCGAGGAAAGGCACACGGTGAGGGGAGAAACACACAGCCAGGCGGGGGTTCACAGCCCTGATCTAAATCCCTACGTGTACTAGTGTAGGAAGCAGAGATTCCTGCAAAGATTTGTATTTTTTTTTAACTATCTGAGCTTTTACAAGGTTCAATTTTCCCCTCCGCTCCATACTAGTGGAATTTTACACCTCTGATAAAATCAAACTAATTCCCAGCTCGCAGTTCTCCAAAGTGTTGTGTCCCATTGTGCTGGGCCTCAGTCATTCTCTTCCTCACCTTGTCCCAAGGTGTTCAGGCTGTTCCAGGAGAGGCCTGTGGCCTAAATAAACCACATGGTTTTATCTGTTCCCATGAGACAAGTTCTTCATTTCCCAAATCACAGTAATCAGCTCCATCCCCTTGCACACAGCAGACCAGACCCCTGTCCTAGCTGAGGGTTTGCTCCTGCCTTGGCATCATTATTTCCCCATCCCTGGCTTGAGACCACAACTGACAGGCTCCACAGCCACATCTCATCATCATTGCGAATTATCATCACACACAGCCAATTCCATTAAGAATTCCAAATATTCCTCCAGCTGCAGGACCCTTCCCTCCTGTTCAGGCTGCTCCATTTCTTAATTCTGCACATTTTCCAAACAAAATCCCACTAGTCCATCCCTTACATTACGTCACTTTCCCTCTGAACTGACGGTACTTCCCAAATTTTGACTTTGTTACGCAGAAATTTTCCTGCTGGCAGCATAAAAGCTCCTCCCTACACAAAATCTAATAGCTCATTCCACTCATCACTCACTCCAAGATTATTTTTAAGTCTCTGCAGGGCTTTTTATGCAATAGCTCATGTCACCTGCTGACATCACACAGCAGCACCTGGCAGGAACCTCTGACACAGGTGATACTTCCAAGCCAGGTGTGAAGAGTTCTGGCAGAGGCCACACACACATAAGGGGAACGAAGAACAGGAGTAAACAGGACACAGACACCTCCTGTGAGCAGCTGAGTCTGAACTAATTGCAAGAGGAAACGCATTTCTATGGTAGAAACTCTACTTCTTCAGATCATGGGGAAAAGGAACCAAAAGATGGAACTTCTCCTCCTTTAGCTTTAGTTTTATAAGTAGGATGGAGTATTGCCATGTGATCTAGACCCGATTTACAAAGCCAAACCCTTCAAGGAATGGTTGGGGCTGGGTTCCATGACTCCAGGTCACTTTGCACTGCTGTCAGCAGAGAGCAGATGAAGCCTCTGGCTCACCCAGGTGTTTCCTTATTTTATTTTAACGTCCCCGAATGTCACCTCAGAGAGAATGTTGCTGTACTACAGCACTTGACACTTGGCAGCATTTTGAGGCTCAGTCGTTGAACTCAGCAAGAGACTTTCTACTGATTAACTGTGGCTTTAGACTGGCTGCCAAAATTTTAGAGCTTCTTAGGAAAAAATAAGCTCTAGTAATTGGTAGGGTCAATAAAATCAGGAGAGGAAAACCAAACCTGGATACCAAGAGGGCTTTTACTGCCAGGTGGGTGAATGAAACGTTTTCACAAGATTTTACAACTTCTTTCAGAATCTTGTTATTAACAGTGAATTCTTTAGAATTACAAGTGATTTGGTTTTATTTCTCTGAGACTGTGCCTCAGAGCTCTGTTTTTCTCTCACATTCCTCTCGGGCAATGCCTCTGCCTCTGAAAGTTCACCTGAACTCAAAATGCTCATTTTTTTCCAAACCTGTAGGAAGCAGGTTTGGGCAGAAGGGCTCTACCTTATTGTAGCCTTTGTGCAGCAAGGGTGGGTTAAGGGTAATAAACTACTGAAGGGTTCAGTGGTTAAATATGGGAGGGAAAAGGAATTTGGAAAAGGCTACCAGTCTTTATCAGAAACGCTAAGAAAAGGCTGTTACAAATAATGAAGGTCAGAAAGTGACTGTAGAAGGGAAGCTGTTGATGCCCCATCCCTGAAAGTGTTCAAGGCCAGGTTGGATGGAGCTCTGAGCAACCTGGTCTAGTGGAAAGGGTCCCTGCCCATGGCAGGAGGGCAGAACGGGATGATCTTTGAGGTCTTTTCCAACCCAAACCATTCTGTGATTCTATGAAATCATTCCAGTATAAAAACACAAGAAAGAGCGATTTAGGGTAGGAGCGTTGTTCGTTTACGGGTTTTGACCACCAGAGGGAGCTCCTGCAACAGGATTCCGAAAGTGAGAGAAAACCAAACCTGATGGAAAACTCCGCTAATTCCTGTAATTTTGGGGTTCGGCTGAAAGCGGGAGATTGGGGTACACGGATGGGGACTGGAAAGGCGGAAAGAGAAAGAACAGACTGTGGGTCCTCAGTCAAAAAAAGACTTTTTTGCCGAGGTCTGGCAGGAATCAGAGAAAGGGTGAATTTTGCCCTGGTAAAAAAGTCCTGATTGGTTCCTTTGTTTGTTTGTTTGAAGCCTGTGAACACTGAACAGAACGGACACGTGTTCTTGTGGATTTGATTTAACTCTCTTGGTGCCCTGGGCTCTTAACAAGAATCTGCAGCTTTTCAAAGCTGTGAAGAACCCAGGCATGGAAGTGTGTGTGCTATTTCTGCAGCTGGCTCCCAAACCCCACACATCACCAGGGAAACTGGGACTCTGGCTTCGGAATAGATTACGACTTCCTACCTACAGTCCATCTGGAGAGGGAACAGGATCAGCAGAGGAAGGATGTTCATTTGTGAAACCATCGGATAAGCTGAAATTAAGCACCTGGTGTTTTCTTATGGATTTGATGAACCACAGGCTCCCACCTGTAAGACAGAATATTTTTCTCACTGGGATGTTGTGAGGGTTAATACAACCCTGGTTACCTGACACGGTGCCAAAGTCCCATCCTCCAGGAGACAGTTACAGGGCTCCAAAGTGCCCTACAAGAAAGCAAGATGCTGTGAGGCAGGAAAGAGCACAGCACCCTCACAGTTCGGGACAGCTGTGCTCTAACATTGTTTATGCAAGTGCTGCCACATGGAGACTGCACAGTTGAAAAAGCACATTCCTTTCTGGAAAAAGCTCACACAATTGAGCAGAGCTGGAGCAGAGTTCAATACACACTCACAGATATTGCTCTGGGATTTAAGAGATCTTGAAGAACAATCTGAAAGTGGTAAATATTGCTTTGCTCTTGCAGATATAAGATTTGTGCATAGCCACACACATGCGTTCATCTGTGGCACCAGTGGAACTTAAGCTCTTCCCTCTTGCAGACCTCTGTGGTAATGCAGTCAGTTGCCCTGAATAAAATTCAACTTTTTCTTTTGCAGGGCTATTTTTAACCCAGAACAGCTCGTTGGCCCAATTCAGTATGTAGTCCCATGAAAACAGCTGTGCTGGCACAGCCATGGAGTTGCTGGCAGGGAGGATGAGGGCAGGAACTGCTGCCACAGCCCTGAAGGAAAACACACAGTGAGCTGCAGCCTTTAACGAGCAGGATCACAGAATATCCTGAGTTGGAAGGGACCCACAAGGATCATTGAGTCCAACTCCTGGCCCTGCACAGGACACCCACAGGAATCGTGAAATGTGCCTGACAACATTGTCCAAATGTTCCTTGAGTTCTATCAGGCTTGGTACTGTGACCACTGCCCTGTTCAGTGCCCAACCACATTCTGGGGAAAGAACCATTTCCTAATATCCAACCTAAACCTCCCTGGCACAGCTCCAGCTGCTCCCTCAGGTTCTGTCACTGGTCACAGAGAGCAGAGATCGGTACCTGCCCCTCCTCTGCACCTTGTGAGGAAGCTGCAGACCCTGATGAGGTCTCCCCATAGTCTCTTCTTCTCAAGGCTGAACAGACCAAGTGACCTCAGCCACTCCTCATAAGGCTTCCCCTCAAGGCTTTTCACCATCTTCATGGCCTTTGCAGCCAAGCCAGTGCTCACAGGAGCCCCCAAGGTGATCTGCAGCAACAGGGAAGGAATTGGGATGTTCCAGGGGCAGTGGCTGGGATACATCTGCACCCTCCCCCTGCCACAGAGGAGCCCTGTGGGAGCACTGGGAAGGTGTGAGGAGAGGCTGGTGCTGGTGGTGGTCACTGCTGCTCCCAAATACCCAGAGTGGACCCCTCCAGTTGTGGTCAGCGCTCACTGGTACCCACAGATCAAGAAGTGGTGTGGCCAGCAGGACCAGGGCAGTGACCATCTGTCCCCCTGTGCTGAGACACCTCGTATCTTGGGTTCAATTTTGGGCCCCTCACAAGAAAGACACTGGGGAGGTGGAGAGTGTCCAGAGAAGGGAACGGAGCTTGGGAAGGGTCTGGAACAGCAGGAGGGAGCTGAGGGTGCTCAGCCTGGAGAAAAGGGGCATCAGGGGGACCTTCTCTCTCTCTCTTCAACTCCCTGACAGGAGGGTGGAGACAGGACAGCAGGACAGAGTCTTAAACTGTGCCAGGGGAGGATTTCTTCACAGAAGAATTTCTTCACAGAAAGAGCGATTAGATGTTGGAAAGGGCTGCCCAGGGTGGAGTCGCCGTCCCTGAAGGTAAGGAAAGAGCGGACATGGCACTCAGTGCCACGCTCCAGTTGACAAGCTGGTGATCGGTCATAGGTCGGACTCGACTCTCTCAGAGGTCTTTTCCAGCCTGAGTCTGTAACTCGGGGATTCCGCGGCTCCGAACGGTCCCGTTCCGTTCCCGCCTCCGCGCTCCCCGCCCGCCCTCACAGCCGAACCCCCCCCCCGCCTCCCGCGCGCGCGGGGAGATGACGTCACGCCCCCGCGCGCGGTCACGTCCGGTAGGTGAGGTCAGGGCCGGGGCCGCCATTTTGAAGCGGCTCCGCGGGCGGCGGCGGCCGCGGGCGGGGGAGGAGCGCGGCCCCCATGGCCGGGCAGTTCGACTCCGAGGACCGCGCCAGCTGGTACTGGGGGCGGCTGAGCCGCGCCGAGGCCGTGTCGCTGCTGCAGGGGCAGCGCCACGGCACCTTCCTGGTGCGCGACTCCGGCACCATCCCCGGCGACTTCGTGCTGTCGGTGTCCGAGAGCTCCCGCGTCTCGCACTACATCGTCAACAGCCTGGGGCCGGCGGGAGCCCGGCGGGCCGGCGGCGAGGGCCCCGGGGCCCCGGGTGAGTGACCCCCAGGGCTGGCGGTGCCCCCCAGCCCCGGGCAGGGCAGCCGGGGCGGCTCCGCTCGGCGCCCGGGCGGTGTTGGAAGGCGTGGAGCGCTTTGTGATGGAATTAAACCGTGTTTCCGCAGCTGGGGCTGAACCGTCCGCCCGCACCTGCCTTCCCAGCGCCACATGAAACGCGTCCCGGAGCCGGGCGGCCGGGGAGATCCTGCGGCTCCAGCCTCCCGCCGCCTTTGTTTTACTAAAGCGGTTATCGACAGCCCGTGGGTTTGCGTGTCACCCCGGCCGGGAGATGGTTCTGTGGAAGTGTCATCCCAAAGTCTGCCTTCTGACAAGGCAGCGCTGCGCTGTCAGGCAGGCGTGAGGCTGAGTTCCGAGCGGGTAGTTTAAGGAGTGGGGACTCCTCGGGATGTAATGGCAATCGTTGCTTTAAATCAGATGCGAAATTCAGGGGGTTTTTCCCCTTGAAGGGCGAAGTTTGATGTTATTTCTCATCAGCTGAACATCTAATATGAAAACGCGTTTAAGTGTAACACTTAGAGAGCACAAGGTGCTGATGGTGTCGGGGGAAAACTGTGTCATGAGAAGCAGCGTTTTTGCTGTTTAATGCAACTAAATGAACCCCCAGCAACGCAGAGTCCTTGGATGTGTGAGAACCTGCAGTATCCCTCCTGTGGGAATTAATGAAGCTGGTAGTGGAACTGCTCCAGTTTGGATATTAATGCTTGCAAAATTATGTGGGTCTGTTGCTGGCATCTCACAAAAGAGACACTGGACAATTTTTGAAGTCTAGTAAACCTGTGTAATAAGAGATTTGGTGAACTTATTTGGCAGAAAGTAAACATTATATGAATTTCTACAGGGACAGTCACTTCTGATGTAGGTCTGTGGTTGGAATGAGAGACCAAGATTGGAAAGATGTAACAATACTTGTTATAGGGAAGATTTTTCAGTCTCTGCACAGAGTAGTTGACTAAGAGGGAGATAATCGAGGAAAAAAACGAAACTACTGCCAGTGGATTTGCACTGTTACACAGTAATTTCCCTTGCTCAGATTTGAAAATTTGGGAAAGTCTCATCATGTTTACCCCAGGAACTGCAGAGTGCACTGAAGTCACAAAGCTCCACAGGTGGAAGTGGCTGAATTCAGCTGGAAGTCAAGTGTAAGTCGTTGCTGCTGTGGGCAGTGAAATGGTTTGCCACAAAGTGTGGTGGATTGTCTCACATCTGTGCAGACAGTTTTGTTGCTGTAGCTTTGCAGAGGTTTGGTGCAATAATTGCCATGGATTGTTGGTGTTGTGTAGAGCAGAGTAAGTTACCAGGATGGTTTGTTGTGGAATCAGCCCAATAGGACTTTAAAGACAGTGGTGGTGAAAAACACTGGATTGTGGCTGTCAGTTCTGGGCAGTTGATTTCTGGGGAGCATCTGATCTCTGGAAAAACAGTGTTTCCGTGTTATTGTGGTATCACTTCAGTACAGCCATCCTGACTCTTTTATTGGGTTACATCCTTAAGCTCATTTTGTGACATACTATGAGCTGACTTGTGTTATGGGAGCTAAAACATTGTGAAGTTTGGTCAGAATCACTAAATACCTTGTAATTCTCTTGCTTTAAATGTTTATCTGTTTAAAAAGAGTAACTGTGTAAGCTGGTGGCACAGTAGGCTTAATATAACTTAAAAAGTATAATTATGTTTTGGTTGGTCTCCTTTTTATTTGTCCTCTTGCACTACAGACAGTCCTACACTGATTTTAGTAACTTTAACTAAATCATGCCTCCATGCTGATACACTAAACCCAAAAAGGTGCTGATAGTGTGTATATTAAATTACAGTGTAATTGAGATGTTCTTTCAGAAAAATATAAGTGTGGGGTTGTTCTGCAGTGGAAGGGAGATGAAAACTTTGGTAGAAGATTGAATAGGATTTCATGTTTGGGTAGGGAAACCAGTGCAGTAAAGAGAGGTGAATGTTTGCAAATTGTCCTGCTTGCTTATTGTGGTCAAGCTAAAACATTGGGAAAACCAATTCTACATGTTTTATTATGGTACAGCTTATTGGTTGACAAACACACAGGTCTCACTGGGAAATCTGAATATGCCAGGTCGGGTCGTTGGGTTGATTTTTGTTGGTCTCAGTGTTTGTGAAATTCCTGAGTGCTCTAATACTGCACTTAGAGTTAGGGAAACCCCAGTACAGAGTGAATGAGATGAGGAGCTTTGGCTTCCCTAATATTGAAAGTCATGATGTCACAAAAACATGATACTTTCTTCTGTTTCCAAAGTATAAAATAAATTTGTGGACTTTTTGTTAAATTCACCTTTTGCCTGATGCTGCAGTTTTTAACTTCTTGCAGGTGATTTTTCATCATAAGAAAAAAATTTAACAGAAAAATTAACCAGATCTTTTTATTTCTTCCTGAAATGCTGTAAGGCTGTTAAAAAAAATAGGATAAATCACTGAATTATGGGAAAGAAGAACACTCTGTTTCCACTGGAGATGGAGATTAACAGCTGAATGAGAATTAGGGTATAATTTGTGATGAAATATCACAGTCACGGGCTGAAGAAATCCCAAACAATACAAAGTGCTCCATGCAGGGAAGCAGACAATAGAAGAAATACTAAAAACATCATGTGTTTGCAATTTAACATGAGGCTTTGGGATAAAAATGTGTGATATGCACTAAAACAAAATACCTAAAATACCCAAAGAAAGATATGCTTTCTATTGAGAGTACAACATTGTGGAGACAGAAACCTTATAGTGTAGTAAAATTTGTGTGAAGTAGGAAAGTGTGACAAATATAGTGCAGAAACTGGTGTTTTCACTGTGAGTTTTAGGAACATGATGCTTAACTTAGGCTTCTAAGTCACTTCCATTGTGACTCTACTTCCTGGAATCATAGAATCCTGCAGGATGATATCCACACATAGGGGATAATATTCCACACTCTATATGGAACAGCTTTAGGTGTGGGTGAGCAGTGTGGTTTGACTCTGACACTTGGGGTTTTAGGGGTTAGGTTTGGGTTGGGTTTTGGTTTTCTTTCCTTTTTTTATATTGAAATCAAAATATATTTAACTGCAAAGTAGTGGAAGCTTGGGAAGTGCCTGCCTTAGACATCTGCTCTTCTTCCCTCCTGTGTCTGCAGAAATGAGTCTGTGACTCCTGGGTGTGCTCAGAGCTCTGCCAGGAGCCGCTCAATGGGCTTTTATGTTTTCACAGGGCGTTCATGGTGCTTGTTTGTTTTGCTCAGCGTGAGTAGGAAGGTGCTTAAGAACAAGGAAAAAAGGTGTCCCTGTGGGGGTGGGGGAACCACACAGGCTGGAATGTGGTGCCTTCAGAGCCCTGTTCCCATGTGCTCCAGGAGGAAACTGCCTTACATCACTCTGATATCTTGGGAATGAGAGCCTCGGGTCTCAGTACCTGTGTGATAACAGCTTCTCTGGCCCAAAACACGTTTTGTAAGTTGGGAAAGGGGACCACCTTTAAAGATTAGGCCTAAATACAAACATGAAAACCTGTGTTTCCATGAGGTGTTCCCTGCACTGAAAGGAAAAGCTTTCCAAAGCTTGGGAATAAAGAGAAAACTCCCTAGTGACACTAACAGTTAATTGGAGTGAAGAGAGAAATGTAAAACCCCTGAGATGTGTGAGAAAGTGAGAAGTTGCTCTGTGGTTATACCACCTGCCCACACTCTCAAGCAGTAGAATATTGGGTGTTTTATACTCCTCATTCCCCAGTGTCTGTACAATATTTAAAACATGTATAATCAATCTTCTCCAGATTGACATGAAGCCAGCACAGTTCCAAAGGGTGTCAGGAGAGAATGTGCATCATGAACAGAGAACAGACAGGGTCCAGGTTTGAAGCTTTCTTTAATTCTGGAACGCTTTGGATTTTAACTTTTTCCTGGTGTTTCTGAGAGCAGGGGTTTCATTACCTGCTCTGACACTCTGGGGTGGCTGGAGTCAGGTTAAGTCCTAGTGGAGACAGAGCAGGATGGATTGAGTAAGAAAGAGGATCCTCAGCCCTTTGTGCTCCTCATTCAAAGGAGTAACCTTACCCAGCAGAGCAGTGCTGGTGCTAGAGGTGCACACTGAGCAGCTCTTCTTCCTTCAGCTCTGCAGGGCTGTGGAGGAGGGAAGATGATTTTTAGTCCTCCTTTTGTCCAACTTTCATAGGAAGTGACTAAAGTTCCTCCAGGAGCTGGACTTTACCTTTCCACGCCTCGTGCTCTTCCTGAGAGCCTTCAGAAGATGGGGACAATGTGCTGCTCTTGTTTGTGCCTTCAAGAAGACTGTCTCCCAGGATCATGAAGGAAAACTGGTCTGATTCTCAAAAAAACACTTGCCTTGTTGCTGTAACTTTCTTGTGTTAGATCTTGCCTTAATTATTCCATGGGCCTACAGGTATGAGCAGTGTTACAGTTCAGCCAAGAAGCTGAAGAATTTCTCTGAGCCTGAAATCTGTTAATCTTTAATTTCATTATACCAGGAAATGACAAAACTTGGAAGCCTTAATGAGTAGAATTATTTCTGTTACACGTGAGCATCATTTAGCTCATTACCTTGTAGCTGAACAAGAGTATCCACAAAAGAACTGATGGGAAGTTTACCACTTCCTTGGCAAGGTGGATTTGTATTTTATTTCCAACCTGCATTTTACCAACTGTGACCTGGAACTATTTTGTCCTTTTTATGCCTCTGGTAGCTGAATTTTAGAGGTCTTCTGTTTAAGTTCTCCAGACAATTACGAGATTGCTGCCTTTGTGTTCTTTGTTAATTAATTTGGATTAAGCCTGTAGCTTTCTTGTTGCAAAGAGATCTTTCCAGCCTTTTGTAGCTGTCTTACTTTTTTTAATACAAAAGCATCAGAAGTGCACGTGGTGTTCTGGCAGTGCTCTTTGTGAAGATAGAGTCTCTCCTTTCTGATGCTTGTCTCTTTGTCCCTTCAAGGAGTGCATTTATCTTTCTGATCCTTGAATTTGGAGTGTCTGTGTTCTCTGGCTGTTCTTCAGTTGTGCCAAATGCCTTTTAGAGTATGATTTTCCAGGATACAGTACACTGATTTCAGTCGCTCCTTCCCTGTACATAATGTTCCAGTGGACTTTCCTTCTTAAAGTCCAACTTGTATTCAGGTACATTTGGCAGCTACTTCAGGCTGTTGTGCATTAATTGAAGAGGGTGAACCTGTTCCAAAGGAAAAAAAAAGACACTCCAAAATACCTTGTTCATCCTGGTGATGATTGTTGGTGCTGACAAGTGTGATGAATGTTAGTGATGAGCTGCTCGTTCCCTATGACTTGTAAGATTTTTCTTGGAATACTTTTGTTGCTGGAGACAGAGCTCAGCCTCCTGACTGAGTCAGCTTGTAGCAGCTTTTACAAAAGTAGAGTTACAGGTTCTGTATTATTGTCATGTGAAATAAGTTCCATGTCAGTGAACTTCCCTGAGATTCAGGCTTTTCCCTATGACTTCAAAGTGCTTTGCTACCCTGGTCTTAAAGTTTCTGTGACTTTTTCTTTTAACCTAAGTGTCCCCACAAGCCTTGATCCTTAAAGATTCACAACTAAAGTAGTAGGAGATATATGCTCATGTTTCTGTCACCAGACAGGTCTGAAACTTGATGTCTTTACCACTAGTTACAAGCTTGGTTTCCCGCTTCCAAAGCTGGAGGAAGTGCAGCATTCCCAGATCACATCATACCCTGATGGAGTGAGCTTCAGCTCTTTGGAAGTGGTGTAGGGATGCTGCCCGTCCAGCCAGAAGTCATCTCCTGTGAGGCCACTGGGATGAAATTCCAGAGTTCTGGCAAAGTCTGGAGCTGTAAGTTACATCTCAGCAACAAAAGTTGAGAGGGTTTTGTAACTTCTCAGCGTTACAATTTGGGAGAATAAGATGGAATCTTATTTCTCTTCCCGTGCTGGGTTCGTATTTCATACTGATAATTACATTAACTTCCTTATCTCTCAGTGATGCCAGTTTGTGTTTTGTTTTTCACAATTTTTTTGAGGGTATTGCTTTTGGTTTTTGGCTCCCTGTGTTTGTATTCATTTCTTTTGAAAGCCTTTCAGGGCTGTTAATGCATGCAAATGTGCATTTTCCGATGGCTTAGTTCTGCTGCTTTGAGTTTCCTGTAACCAGCTTCACTAATGTTTATGTTCCTTCAGGATACTTCAAAACTTATTTATCGGGTGTTTGTCTATGTTGATCTTATTGAATCTGCCCTTTTCTCTGTTAGAACCCCTTTTTACTCTCTTGAAAGAGCTTGTTGTAATGTCAGCTTTCCATGCTGACAGTGCTACTTTGAAGGGGGGTTTGGATCAGTGACAGTTTGAAGGATTCTGTTTGCTTTGTACTCCAGAGCTAAGTCTCGGAACTGTTAGATATTCCCTGCAGAGAAAACAGACTTGCAAAGTAAGCATCTCTTTCTTGCTAAAAGAGTTACTCATTAAAGCATAAATCTTTTCATCTCCTCTACCCTCCCCCAGCCTTCCAGGATTCTTCCCATAACTGATTGCACAGGGTTATGGTGGAAATAGAACATCATGTGTGTGTTTTTCCCCAGAAGAACGTAAAATGGAAAAAAAAGGACAGCACACTGATTGAAAATTGAAATGGATACTCTGCCCTTTGGTGCTTGTGATGGCTTGAATATGAACATCATCTGTATTTCAGTGTTTTTGAGTTTTGGGTTTATAGCTTAGGCTCTGTCTGACAAACATGGCAAAGAAACTACAAGACTTGAGATTAAAAGGCTGAGTCATACCTATTATGAAAATATATGTCATTGCTTTGCATTGCATAAAACACAGATAATTTTCTTTAATGGTACCTTTTATCAAAATGAAAAATAACTGCATTTGCTCATTCATATCACATTTTGCTGCTGTGCTAAGCAGTTTCCCAAAATGTCCATGCCTTTAACCCAAGGTATATTACAGCAGGTAAACAACCATTATGGCACTGTTGTCCTTTAAAAATAAATCTGAACAGCAAAAGAGAGTTTAAAAAAAAAATAATTTCCTTGAAATTGTACCAAGATTTCGTTTACTTCCTATATTTAGAGTATAAAACAGGAAAAAGGGTATCATGTGTTACTGAAAATGGTACAGACTTCTGAGAAAGATGCACTGAACATTTTCATCTCTTGGGTCCATATAACATTGAAAGAAACAAAGATATTTTTATCCTAATTCAGGAAGTTTGGCAGTGCCAAACAATTACTCTTTTCCTTCTTTGACAAAATCTTTTAGAACAAAAGTCTATCCTCATGATCACGATAGTGCTGTCTTAGATTAAAAATACTCTAAAAGCTGAATTTGATGAATGCTGGTGTAAAGATACCAAATTCACTGTAGAAATACTTCTCTGCAAATGTCTTCTCAGCTGTTTTATTTACAGTTTTAACTGTTGTATGCTCTCTTTGACATGTTGCCTTCTTTTTCCAGGGTCGAATCCCACCAGATTTCGAATAGGTGACCAAGAGTTTGATTCTTTGCCATCTTTACTGGAATTCTACAAAATACACTATTTGGACACTACGACCTTGATAGAACCAGTCTCCCGGTCCAGGCAGAATAGTGGTGTTATCCTCAGGCAGGAGGAGGCTGAGTATGTGCGAGCTCTCTTTGACTTTAATGGAAATGATGAGGAAGATCTTCCATTTAAGAAAGGAGACATACTGAAAATCTGGGATAAGCCTGAAGAGCAGTGGTGGAATGCAGAAGACAGCGAAGGGAAGAGGGGAATGATACCTGTTCCTTACGTCGAGAAGTATAGACCTTCCTCTGCTTCAGTCCCTACTCTGATTGGAGGTAACCAGGATAGTTCCCACCCACAACCACTGGGTGGGCCGGAGCCAGGGCCCTATGCCCAGCCCAGCATCAACACTCCGCTCCCTAACCTTCAGAATGGCCCTATTTATGCCCGGGTTATCCAGAAGCGAGTCCCTAATGCCTACGACAAGACAGCCTTGGCTTTGGAGGTACATAATGGGCAAAATTTAGAAGGAAGAGATCTGTTCAAGGGATTTCCCTTTCAATCACATTGATAGTTTTGTAGGAATGAGAAAGGGAAAAGCATTGTAATACTGGTTTTATGTCGTGGTTAATAAGTTACGGATAAAGGCTTTTTTTTTTTTTTTAAATGAGTGACTTAAGTCACTTGTAGATTAGATTATTGTTGATTATTACAGCATGTTTAGGTTACTCAACCAGTATTGTGTCTTTGTCAGCCATCACTAACACAAGTGTTTCCCCATCCATGTTTTCACTTCCCAGGTGTTTATTTTAGGGGGGAGGGAGAGGGAGCAGTTCATGAATTGTGTGTCTGAACCTGTGCTTGCTGTCGTGTGCCTCACCAACGTGTACAAGGTGTGCTGGGTTGTTTGTTGGTTTATGTTGTGTTGGGTTTTCCCCCCCCCAGTCTGTCAGCAGTTTAAAGCAATCAGTGCAAACATTGATAGTCATTTTGAAGTGACCCAGGGTGAGATGATGATGATGATCACACACAGGGTTTTACTGTAATATCTTCACCTTAAGCAGATTGCTTTGGGTTTAGATTGGGAAGCAGGAGTGTTTTACAATTTACATTACAATTTATTAGGGAGGTCTTGCATAAAGCAGTGATTGATGGAGCAGGATTTGTAATAAAGCAAGGAGTTTCCCTCAGGCTGATTCACTTCCTGACATGATCAAGTGCTTGTATAGGCCCTTTTTGATTTTTCTTTTTCCTCTTAAAAGATGACTGGAGTGCTCTATCTCTCCACATCAGATAGTTCTCCCTCAAGTTGAGTTGGAGGAAATTGATACCAAGGTATTCCCAGTGGCAGACCTTTGCCTTAGGATATGTAAATTGTATCCTTTAATCTAGGCTTTCTTTGAGCCAGAGGCTCTGGAATTTCCTGATACCTAATTGACTTCCTGTTTATATAACATTTTAAGTACTTGGGAAAAAACAGTTTCTGTGCTGAGTCAGAACATCTCCTCTTCACTCTCACATACTTTGTGTAATTGTGCAGAGCACAAAAGGCACTTCAGGACTCCAGTGATTTGGCAGCTGTAGGTGTGTGTCTGTAGTACAGAACTCGCAAATGCAGCACATTCTACAGATGGATAATTGATGTACAGCCTGGCAAATGTGAAATTTTTTCCCATTGCAGGTAAAAATTTATCTGGGGGAGCAATGTAAATGCACTCTGAGTTACTATACATTCTGTTAGATAGGTGACTGGGTTTGGGTTGAGAAGCATGAGAAATTTATGCCAACTCATCAGATTTTAGGGAAATGTGAAGATTTTTATCCTTCATACTTTACTACAGCCTAAAATACTGTCTCTTTCCCTGTTTTTCTCACTTTCCACCCAGCCACCTCCTGGAACTTGGGAATATTCCTAAATGGCATTGCAGACTATGTAATTACCAGATGTTACATATTTTTTGAGCCTCTGGATATTATGTTGTGGCATATTTATCAAAAACTTTTGGGTTTCTTTTTGGATTTTGCTATTAATTTTATATTATTATTTAACTATTATTTATCAGTGTGCCACTAATGTTCTCTCAAGCCTCAACTTCCCACTTTAAAGCAGAACCCCACAACACTGCCCTGTGCAGAGTTTGGGAGCTTGGAGTGAAATAGGGAGAGTGAGAAAATGCTGGTAAATCCAGGCCATCATAAGCAACTTAGAGTGAAAGGAAATCCTTTAGAGGCTGAAGAACAGCTTGGGAGTGCTGTGGCTGATCTTGTGTTAGCTCAATCCTCTTCACCAAAACTCACATGATCTGTCAAGTTGCTGTGCTTTAGGAAGAGTAGTTGTGGAGAATCTCTCTCTCCTCTGAGCTACCCTACACCATTAGTATCTTTTACTAACTGATGATAACAGGCTTGACAGCTGAAGGGTTGGGGAGGAGGGAGCTGAGAAGTGTCAGCTCAGCTCATCTTTGTGACAATATAAGATTTCTGGTGCACAACATTGGCCTTTGTGGGCCTTACAAACTTACTGAAATACTTATCAGTTGAATGTAGAGCTTCTTGATTAGGGTGATGCACTCCTGTCTTGCTACACCTCTGCATTTAAGAAATGCAGCAGTAGTGGTGGTTCTTTATTCTGTATAAACTGGGAAAATTTAGTTTTAGAACATGAGCCATTGATCACTGCTTCTAGTGTCCTTCAGAGCTTCTTTGCAGCTTTTATCACTTCCAATCACAATGTTACTGAGTTGCTTTCAATGTCTGTACAGGGAAAAAAAGAGCAATATGCACTTCATTTTCTCCCAAGTTTTTCTTCATCCTGTCTATCAAAGTACTGTTTCTTGTTGTCTCCTTTTTTCACATTCCCTTTCGCTTCATGGTGTTCCTTCCCTGTTTATTTAGAGATCTCTTTCTTAGATAACTTAGTAGAAAGCATTATGTAAATCTTATCAGTCCATTTTTGCCCAGACCTCTTTATAAATACAGAAAGTGGGATTCTTTCCAAATGAAAACTCTTATCCTCAAATCTGGCAATATTCATGGGTGGGGGTGGATCCCACTGTTTCTCTTAGAAAAATAGATTCTTAACATCAAACAGTTTTTGCCCAAACTGCAAACAGAATATCTGTACTGCTCTGTTATTTTAAGACTGACATGCTTTTGAAGAGCTCAAGGGAGGAGGATCAGAGCAGGCGATGTTCTAATAAAGTCTGTGCTGTGTTATGGAAAAAAGATTCAGCAGGAGAAGTTAACATTTGTTTTGCATGTAACTGGACCTATTCAAGGAGTTGTCAGTCTATTTTAAGAGAAAATAGAGGAGAAAAAAGGAAGATCTGTTTGGTGAATGACTCTGAGATCGATCGATTTATTTTTTTTCTTTGTAACAGTAGCAGAACTCTGCCACCTTGACCTCACCAAAGAGGAGTACTTGGAATAAAACCTCAGCATACAGAAGTCTTCACTTGAACCTTCAGTTTTGCTTTGAAGCATATGGGGTATATTTAGTTTTAAAACTTCTGATGAAGACTGAGACAAACCTGACTTTCTAGCAGGGTACAGTGTTGTTCCTGAGGTGCTGTGCTTGGTGGGATGATGCACTGTGGACTAATGATACCATAAGTCAATGTTAAAAGTGAGAGGAATTCAGAGAGAATATCCACTTCTAATCTAAGTGTTTTAAAATTTCAGCACTTGTAATAATGGGTAATTTTTGAAAAGTTCTCTGTATTGTCTTCAGGACAGTGTTTGAACTACAGCTTAATAGGCAGAGTTTCAAAGCAGATCTAGAAAGATCTGTAAGTTATTGAGGAACTAATGGAGTCATTTTATTAAGCCAGCATTTGTGAAATGGTCTGTGCTCACTTAAGTCAGTCCTGCTTTGATAGGTGTAAAGATATATATGTAAAAGAATGAAGTGGGAAGATATATATATAGATGAAATGTGAATGAAAATTTGTATAAGAGTGATTGCTAAATGACATTACTGCAATGGTAAAAAAGGAATATTTTATCTCAGAGGTCTTTCCTCTTTTCACGATCACTGAAATGCAGATTTCATGTGTAGCTTCTTGTAGTAAGGAGAATTCATAAATGGGTGTCCCTTGGCTGCAATGACCCTGAAACACCCCTGAAAACCAAAAAACAGCTACAAGATGCTTCTGGGAGTGAGGGAGTGTCACAAGCATCCTGTATTATAACTCACTGCCATTGCAGTGTTGAACTCACCTTTTGCAGGTGAGTTGATTGTAAGATGTCCAAGATAAACTCTGTATGAACGTGAATTAGGGTGTGATAGTCAATAAGAGCAGTCTGAGAAAAATACCTTGCAGACAGCAAACTTAAGTGCAGCTTGTGTTTCTTCCTTCCTAGTGGGTTGGAGGTTAAATACTGTTGTGTTGGAGGCTGATACACAGATTATATCCAGGTCTGAAGAGTTTAAAATTATCTAGGACATTGTTCTTGTAATGGTTGTGATTAGGAAATAAGATTTTCCGGTTCTAGTATTGTCACATTTAATCTCCTCCTTGTTAAATTAGAGCTGATGTATTGTTTTGGTCAGCAGAGTATTTTTATTGGTACAACCCCCCAGTGGTTATTAGCAGTAGTAGAATTATACAAACTGCATGATTAAATTCCTAAAGAGCTGAAACTTGCATTCAGTAGTCGAGGAAGGTTTCCTTTTTGCCTGTAGCAAATACATAAGAGGATTCTCTTCAAAATATGATTCATTAAAATGTCTATACTAATGATTACAAAAGGAAAAAATAAAACTACAGTGAGAGTCCCAGTGGGCCTCTCATTACCAGATAAGTAATCATGAGAGGTATGGGGAGCTTAATTAAATGTCCATGAAGTGGTTTGAATTTATGAACTGTTAAAAGCTGTTCTGGCAAAAGATCGCAAGTGATTAAAACCTGTAAAGTTAATGGAGATTGGTAACATCTTAAATTGTTTTCCTTGTTCTTCATTTGCTGCCTGGAAAGTGAGAATAATGAGATTCAGTTAGGATGGATTTGGAACACAGTGATGAGCATCTGTGTAAACCAGTAACTGTATATTCAGTGAATTTTTGGATTAAATGCAGTGAGGCTTTTGGCCTTGCCTTCAGAGTTTATTTACAGTATAAATGAAAGAAAATAAGCATATATCTGTCCCTAGAAAGCATCCTCCCTCTAAAGAATTCCAAAATCCATTGTTTTTTACTTGTAAATAAGATTATTGATAAAATTCTACAGAGGGGTAGAAACGGGTAGACAGCTTTTCAGGGTTGCATTTATTAATTCACCAGCACCTTTACAATGTAAATTTTGCTTTCTTAGCTTGTGTAAGTGCTGTTTAAAGTACCCTTCAAGATGCAACAGAGTTGGGGACTGATCAGACCTAGACCTGACTGCACTGCCTTGGGGAAGCAACTGCTGTGCAGTTTGACCCTTTGCCAGAGGGAGACAGAATTGGTGCCGAGAATATCAGGGTAGAGATGAGAATAGGAGATATATTGCTGGGCTTTTATGTAGTGTATTGTGTTAAAATCAGATGCTTTGAAACAATGTGTTCTAGTTTCATTGGTCCATAGCAGCCATTCTTTTATTTTTCTAGCTAAAAAAAGTCAGGTCTAAGAGGGAGAGGGCATCAGTTCTCTTTAATATTTCTGAGTGGTGGACTTGGCAGTGCTGAGTTAGTGGTTGGACTCTGATCCTCAAGATCTTTTCCAGCCTAAACAATTCTGTGGTTCAGTGAGATTTATTTCTGTGAGAAATCTGTGGTGGGCAAGACTGAAATGTCATCTGGCCTTGCCTCTGGTAGTGGCTGTTTGAGGACGCTCAGAGTAAGAACAGAGCAGCCTTAAGGCACTACTGCTTAGACACCTGCACATTGTCTCAGTGTTTTATAGTCTGTGGAGAGAGATCCCCCACTTATCCAGAGCCTTTTTAATAATACCTGAGAAGTGGAATTTCAAAACCGAGGAGCTGTTTAGCTTCCAGGTTAGTGTTCCCTTGGTCCAGCCTGCCTTGTTGTTCTCAGTGGAGAACCAGCAGTGTGCAAACCTCTGTCGGTCCAGCGAGGCACATTCATTGGGATGGCACCTGATGGCAGGTCCCAAGAGTGCTCTGAGGGATTGGTACTGGATTGCTGGCTCTTCAGGTAGTTCTCACCTGATCTAGGCATGCCTTTTTCTCTCTATACTTTCTTCAGGAGTGAATGACATGGGGGACAGGCTGGTGTCTCAGGAACGGTCAGGACTGCTTTGTATGGACGTGTGTCTGGTACACTTGGGGGACACACCGGCGGGGAGGGCTGGCGGCTCACCCCGGTGTTTATGGATGGTAACACGTATTTATTTCTTACCCCACAGGTCGGTGAGCTGGTAAAGGTCACAAAGATTAACATGAGTGGTCAGTGGGAAGGAGAATGTAATGGCAGACGGGGTCACTTTCCATTCACACATGTCCGTCTGCTGGATCAACAGAATCCCGACGAGGACTTCAGCTGAGTGTGGCTCAACAGTTGCGCTTACAGATGGGAACAATCTCAACTTGTTTTTATTGCAGATGCCATCAAGACTCTGTTCCGACCGATTGAAAGCGGAATTGCTTGGATAAGCATTCTGATAACCTGCAAACCCCTGGGACTGAACACCACCATTCCTTAATCAAGGGTCATGTAATTCAGGGTACGACAGTAGATAACTCGTGTGTCAAGTGGCAGAACTAGTCCACGATTCTAGGTTGTAATGCCTGCTTATGTCCATGTGCACGGCAGACTGGACCTTGCCAGCAGCAGCAGCCGGGGAGAGCAGGACTGTAGATGTTCAGATGACATTTATAGCTCTCTCCGGTCCCATTGCTTATGTTGCTTCTTCCTCAGGCAATGAACATCAACCGTAGACAATTCAATACACAGATAGAAATTTCACCAATTTATCCTGGAGCTTTCTCCATGTTTTTTTCCATCCTGAATTCTCTGTCCTAGAAAGGCTATACAGTACTCTGCATGGTCAGTTAACTATGCACAGTACAGATTTATGTAGTGCTGTTGGGGACAGCCCTTGTGATTTACACGTTCTTACCATTTTAATGGTAAATGACAGATCAAATCAACCTCAGAATTCTAGAAGTTTGTGGACACTAGATTGATTTCGTCAGTACTGTTGATGCTTCAAACATAGCAGTTGATATTAAATTAAGATTTTTGTTAACACTCAAATATCTCTTTATCCACAAATACAAGGCTTATAGAAGTGTAAACATCCATATCAGTGCTGAAAAATACGTGCGTAGCACTTTAATACGTAGCTTTAAAGCAGTGTTTGATTCACTAAATATACTAAAATATTGACACTGCTTTCCAGTAAAGTTAAATTATGTAGGGCTAGTTTAATGTTTCTAGAATTCTTGGATACTCCTGTTGTACAATACTGTTACAGTACAAATCGGTGTCAAACATGGTGAACTGACAAACCAAATATTACTTTTATTATAAAGTTACTCTGGGGACTCTTCTGGTTTGATTCCCATCTGTAAAATATTTGATAGTGAATTCATGAGGATTTTATTTTTAATAAACTAATGGAAAATAATTGTGTGCTTCTGGACTGATTCTCAAAAGGCATAATAGAGTAAATACGGCTTCCTAGCTCATAATGAAAATCAGTGCATTGAATAGGCAGTATTATGCACTGCTTGGTGGTTGTTTTTGTAGTCTGTTCTTCTAATTATCTGGTTTTCTCTAATATAAATCAGAATGGATTCAGTAAGTTTTGTAAACTGAAATTAAACACTGAAGTAACTATCCCTTGCCTGTACCCTGGGTTGTTTTCCAAGCACAGCACTAGTGACCAAACTAAATTTTGTAACTTTATGACTACAGTGTAATCCGTACAGAACAGTTTTTCTAAATAGTATCAAACGGAAAATGTTGGTTTTCCTTGCTACAAACCATGTGACTCGAGTGGCTCATTGGTGGCACATGCTGCAAAGGCCTTTGCTGCACTGCACCGACCTGTACAACAATACTGGTAACACTTTACCTCAGAACTCTGTAACATGCTGGAAGTTATAATATTTCTGTTATATTTAAGTACTAGTCGTTTTACTTCAGAACTAATCCATCAGCAAGTCTGACTAATGTTCAGGTTATGGGCACTCATGACTTCTGTGCACTAACGCCGATGTACGTTAATCACACCTGTCCATCACCAGTCTCCTGAGCACTACTGAGGATTGTCAGAAAACTGACAGCTGGGACAGTGGTGTGGGAGTGGAAACAAAGGAATCGCAGTCCTGTCCTAGCTTGGATTGCTGTTCTGGTTAGGGTGATGTGCCAGTGATTGTGGGATCTCTTCTAGCTCAGTACAAAATTCACTTTGAGGGGAAAAAAATTGACAAACTAACTGTAGGCTCTGTAACTCATCGGTTTCTTTAAGGCTAATTTGTATTTTTCCTCTGACCTTGATATTTACTGTAACAGGGTTTTTTTGTTCAATAGCTGCACTCTAAATAACAGGCTTAATATTGAGTTTTTCAATTGCCCGTATTTGCTTATGTTTTTCTTCATGTATTGCAAAAGAAACATAGCGAACGGTGTGTTCTTAGAATAACACTGTTCTGAAGTATTTTTCCCAACTGCAGTTAATGAAAGCCCATATATTTGTACCTTTCCAATCGGGAGTTAAATTTTAAGATACCGAAAGAACATTTTTCTGGTAGTTTCATTATGCAAATATTGCCCTTTTAATAGGAAAGACGTGAGTCAAATTAATTAGCAAATCCCCTGCAAACTTTGTAGATGTGGTTTTATTAGGACTGTATAAATTGCAAATATTTGTACACTTTGAAACAGCAAAATAAAGAAACTAGAGGAGTCTTAATAGCCACTGTTGCACTAGAACCCCAGTTCTTGTCAAGCAGTTTTTCATAGTCAACTGACACATTAATGCAACTGTTTTCCACTATTCAGTTCTAAGCCAAAATGTGGTTTTGTTTCATAGGTGGTAGAAATGTTTGCATTTGGACAAAGTAGACATTTCAACTTGTCAAGCTCTTAAAGGAAAATAGGTAGAACCTATGTTCATGAACATGTAGATTAAATCCTTTTGTGGCCTTTGTTTATCCTCTTCTATTTGTTCCCTCCCTTCTCCCCGATGCGTGCAAAAAAATCATTGCTAAGAATGTTGGTCACAATCTTTTGTCTCTACTTGGCTGTGTTTTTTGGTTTCTTGTGCATAGGCAGGTGTTAGAACTAGAATAATCATTTCTAGAAATACACCGTGAAAGCAGAATGCTCAATTACACTGTGTTCTTCTGGTGCATTTACACATTATATCACACTAAAAAGTACAACTGGCTGCTATGGTTTTTTTAATATATATTTCATTTTGGTAAACCCCAGCCTTTTTACTAATATTGGACCTGGTTAAATCTTGTTAATCTGTTTGAATTGTATTTGTTAATAATGAAAATATTTCTAATCATTTTAAGAGTAAAACACTTCATTTTTGTTAATGGTTTTGGGGAAGGATTCTAACCAAACCAGTTTGAAGAAAAATATGAAACATGTGCCATTGTATTATAACACTATCCACTTTCTTGACAGTTAAAGTCTTTTTTTATTTTTTTGTAGCATGTAATGTATATGTTCATAGTACGTGAAGTAAATAAAAGTATAGCCAAAACTTTGACTCGGTGTCATTCTCAATCATATGTTGTTGTAATATATGAATTTAGTGATCTCAAAATAGAGCTGTGGGTGTGGCCATTTTTAATTTGCCATATTTGTATGAAGACAATTATAACACCTGCAGAAGTAAGACAAACCAAGGTAACTAAAATAACTTATCAACCAATAAAATATGGCTTTTTTGAAATGAGGTGGCTTTCTGTAACCAAATTAGTCAAGGGGTAGGGGAAAACTGAATTGTCATTGCAAAAGAGGACTTGTGAGGAATGTTAATATGAGATTTTATAGCTATTGGTCTCACTTCTACCTGCACAGGTGTATCAGGAAATAGTGTGGGGATTCTTTGGATGGGATGTGTATGTTTGGGAAGGTAAAAAGCTGTTTATTTATTCCTAGAAAGGTCAGTAAAAACATCAAGTTATACAAACTGATACCAGCAGGAATCTCCTACAGGAGTCTAGTAATGGTTCAGCAGAACTGCTTTGTCCCTGTGGTAGTGGGAGAGCACTATTCCAATGAAAGGCAAAGGTGTGCAGGTGCTGTCAGGGGATGAAGCACAGAAAATGAGGATCAGAATGCCTGTGTCCCGTGGGGAAGAACGTTTGTAACATGAATCTGCATTAGACCTACTTTTGCCATTGTATTCCTTAAAAGCTGCAAGGGGATGGTGGTCTTTCGGCCCCCAAGGATAAGAATCCTGATGGCAAGATTCCTGTTGTATCTCCACACAGGAAAGATTCTTTTATCACCTTCAGATGGAAAAAACCTTATATTTTCTTGGGTAAAACCCCCCAGCTTTGCTCCAGTGTTCACATAGCTTGGCTGCAGCAGATCTGCAATCCAAAAGTGCCATTTAATGAGGTTAGAAACCTATTGCTTTTCCTTTTCCTCTCCTTCCAACCATGTTTTTGGGCTGCAGTAGTGACTGAATCAATTCATGTGAAAGTTGAGGGTGCAAGGGACAAGCAAGGATTGCATCAGCGAATAGTGCTGTGAGTGTTTCCCTGGATTAGACTATTTATTCCTTATGCTTTGCCAAATCCCCGACCAATTTCCAAATATTTGCATGCCATCTGTAATGAGTGCATTCACAAGTATTTAAAGCATTTGGACAATATGCTATTATTCAGCAAGTGTATCAAGCATGCACCTCACTTTAGACAAATAAATATGCTTGATATGTCCTGGTTTGTTTATATTGTTGACCTCTACAACTTTGGTACTTGCTGAACATGAGGATCACAGAAAAGTTCCTAGATTGGTGCAAATCTAGTTTATTGTGCATAACTTGCCTACAAAACTAAGCCCCAGTTGCTGAAAAATAGGACTTTTGTGGTAAAGATCTATGAAGTGCAGAGGTGACTTGCAAGTCTCACATATTTTAGTGTATTTACACAAAGGGATGGTGACTGTGCACTGTTGGGACCTTTTGGGTCAGCATTTTTCTGATAGTATATCGATAAATTGAAAATCATGTGGGTTTTTTCTGGACTTGACACCTAATTTTCATCTTGGTGAAGACATGCTGATGTCTTTGGCTTAGTACACTATATGTAGCACAGAGGGGTAGTACTATTTGTATTGTCAGCGTTTGAGGGCAGCAGAAACAGAGAGAAAGACCCGCCCTGAGGGAAATGCCACCCCCCTGGAGCATCCCTCGCCTGGCCGCCGGCCGGGCCCGCTGCCCCCTCCGCTGCCCCACAACCACGGCGCCGTGTCTGACACGGCCCCGCCACCACGGGGCGGGGGAGCGGCGGCCCCGTCCCGGCCATTCCCGGCCGCCTCATCCCGGTTCCCTCATGCCTCCTCCCGCCCTCTGCCCGTTGCCAGGGAGCCGCCGTTGCCATGGCAGCGGCGGGGCGCATGCGCGCGCCCGCGGGAGTGCCCGGATGCAGCGGGAGGAGGCGCTGCCGCCATATTTGCCCGGAGAGCAGCGAGCTGGTAGCTGCCGAGCCCCTCGGACCCATCGGCTGCCATCCGCCCCGCGCCGCCCCGCCGCCGCTCCGCCCGCAGGACATGGACGATCGGGAGGACCTCGTCTATCAGGCCAAGTTGGCTGAGCAGGCTGAGCGCTACGATGGTGAGCGCGCGGGCTCCGGGAGGGCCGTGCACGGCCAAGGGGAGAGGGAAGAGAGGGAGCGGCCACAAAATGGCGGCTGGGCGGGGGAGGGGGGGCAGGGGCGGAGGAGGGGGCGCACACAAAATGGCGACGGGGAGCGCCCCTGAGGGGCCGGTGGAACCGGGGATGGGGGGCCCGGGCGAGGGGGTGTCTCGGGCCGGGGCGGGGCCCCGGGCGGGGGGCGGTGGCGGCAGGAGCCGGGAATAAAATGGCGGCTGCGAAGGGCGAGTCCTGGGGGGGCCGGGGAGCCGCCCCCGCCTCGGGGGACCCCACAAAGAGCCCCCGCTGCCCCTCGCGGCTCGGCGGGGTCGGTGCGGGCCGGGCCCGGCGCTCCCCCGGCCGAGCAGCGCGGGGCGAGGGCGGCTCGGCGCAGACAACGCCCATGGGGGGGGCTCGGCCCGCGGCCCCTCGCCCGCCGGGCTCCTCTGGGGTCCCGGGGGACGGGACTGCGCCTCCTTCTCTGCCTTCAACCCCGGCTGGAGACCCCGCTGCCCCTGGCAAACCCAGAGAGAGCGAGCGCTCGCCCTGCAGGGATCGGGGACATGATTCATTGCCCAGAGAAAACGCGTACGCTTTCATTATGTGGTAGAAATTGTTACGGATCGTTTTACTTTTCCAGCACCTTCTTTTCATCCTTTTTCCCTTTCAAGCTTGTTCGCTGTGCCTGATCATTAAATATACCTGATCGTTTAATATCTGGGGGAAAATGGGTACAGGGGAGGAACTGGCAACCCTGGGTGGTGTCTCTTGGCCCAAAAATGTCTGTCTTGCAACTGTTCCTTTAAACATGGTTCCCTTGCATAGAATAGAAAGGGCCTTTAATTTTCTCGATGGTGTTACTCATCTGGGACTGTTACTTTGGCCCAAGAGCTATGATTGTTCATTTAAAATGAAATAAACACCCTTCCATATAGAAAGCGTGAATGCAGAGTACACTTCGTTTAGAGGTAGGAAGACACTCCAGATACTTTCTGTTCATAAATTTCATAGGCAACATGACCAAGGTTTCACCAAATGACAGATTTTTACTGAGTTACTCATAGAAAACTTGTGATGACACCATCACAGAACATCTGAAAAATGCACGTTTTGGAGAGGAAAATACAACAAAAAGGAGGCCTAAGTTAGACTCCTTTAAGTTACAGTCCCAATAGGGAAATGTGGTAGAACAAATAATACCACTATATGAGAGCAGTAAAGCAGTTTCCACAATAACTGAAGGACTTACAGGAAAGAAAATGCCCTCCCAAAACCCAGGTATTGGGGTACAGTGTGATTGACTCAGACAGAGGGACACATGCAGTTCCATATTCCACAGTAAGAGTGCAGGAGGGAAGGGTTCTCCACCTGGTATGGATGAGTCAGAGCAACTGGAAGTGTTGGCTTTGGTTTGAGTGGAAACCCAAGTTGGATGCTTGGCCAACATCCTGGAGAATTCATCATCCTTGGGAGCTCTTGAGGCATTACTGTGTTTCTGGGGTTTTCTTAAGTCAGCAGTAAATCAGTTCTTTAGAAGGTAATCAGACTCTCCCCCATGGTACAGATCTGCAATGCAAACTTCCTGTCAACTAATAAAAATTGATTAGTAGGGATTATTGCCTTGGTGCAGCGTTTCCCTTGATGGACTTTTGGTTCCACCAGTGCTGTGAATGTTTGCTAAACAAGCTGCCTGGAGCAAAATGTAGACTCGTTCTGCTGTATTGCTTCTGAATGGTAATGAGACTTGTTACAGTTTAGGAGGGAGCACTAAACTTAAAGTTGCCTTGTTTAAATCACTGCTGTGGGTTTTAGACTTGCAGAGTTTTTAGGAATCAAGTTGGGTAAACATATTTAAGGTGCACCCTCTAATTCTACCAAGTCTGAATGCATCTTCACATTGCTCGTGTCCATGGCCTGGAAGAAAATGTACTGTAGATACTGTTTTATCATCTAATTCTGTGTTCTTGTTCAGCTGAAACAATTAAAAATTATTGGCATAATTTGTTCTTGTTTATATGAAATAATGAAGTTCTGCCAAGATCATAGCTGAATAATTCTGTGAACAAAATGGTTTGGGAAGCAGTATGGTAAAATGTAAGTTAAACTTCATTTTACTCCTCAGTTCACTCTTTGAGATACACAACCATGAGGTCACACTTACTAATTGACACATATAAAATGAGGTGATGGTAAGTACTGTCTACAAATATGTTGTAACACAATCCCTTGGGTAATTTGAATACGAGTTTGACAATTTTTTGTGCTTAACATGTTTTGTGCTTAGGTTGTGTCAAGTTCTGTGCCATCTTTCTCCTGGAGACTAAGAGTGGTGGGTTGCTATTTATGTATAGCTCATGGCATTTATAGCAGCACTTATGGTGGGCATCCAACTGTGGCTTCTTTGGTGTTACTTACCTGACCTACTTAGGGAATTCATGAAGTCTTGGGAACTGCATTTGTGAATGGTTGGGAATCTGGTCCTGTATCTGTACTGTCCTCAGTGTGTTGGCCCAGATTAAGAGGGCAACTTTCTAGGTACTTTTGCAGTGTAAGTAACACTTAAACCCTGAGCTCTGGAGATAGTCAGACACCCAAATCTCTTAATATCTTCACAGATCTGCTTAGGCATGTCATGGCAAATCACAAAATGCCAGGAAGCTTAATTGTAGTACAGGAAGCTTTGTGAGAAATCTCACTCACTGCTATTCCTTCAAACACTGTCATTGGTAGAATAATATATAACTCTAGATGGTCTCCTTTTTTGGAAAACAATTGGAGTAAGTAAGATTGTGTTGGCTTGTGAAATTACCATCCTAACATTTGAATTCTTTATATCGAGAGGATGGATCTGGATTGCTGTAGACTGCTGCTGAATGTTGAAACCTGAATGTTGAAACCTGTTT